GACAAAGATGCATTCTCTGGATGGGCCTTCTCGAATTCTTCCACGACGCTCATTTCACCGAAAGGAACGCGACCCCACATCAGACATATCTCTGTAACATTATAACGGGACGTGGGGAGGGGGCAATGGGCAGCCCAGACAACGTCGGCCCACTGATGGGCGGGGGCGAAACTGGCCCTGGCCACGGGGGGGCCCTATGAAAAGCCAACTTGGCCGCGAGAGACCAACCCTTGTGGCGGGGGGGCTGATGTGATGCGAGAGAAGTATGAGCCTGGCCTGTCTCAACTCATTGTCGCCCATGCCGACCGCGCTGGGCCCGAAAGTGGCCGCAGGAGCCACTCCCGCAACGCAGATCTGTCCGATGCGACCCTTTCGCCTGGGCAGGCGTCGTCGATGCTTCTGCAGCTTGCGATGGCGCTTGAACATGCACTCGATACAGGACCGACGCTTCCACCTCGCATTCTTGGCACACCGCGCCTGCCCAGGAGCCGAGTCCGCACCGTGGCCGACCGCGCCAGTCGCGACCTGCCCAGCCACCCCGCCGAGAAGGTTGCCGAGCGCGCGGGCGACGCGCGCAGAGCTGCCGAAGGCGGCGAGCGCGTCCGCTCGCAGCCCAACCTTCAAATCGTCGCGAAAAATGCAGAGCATACTAGCACACGCCTGCGTCATCCGAGAGAGCACCTCTTGCCCCGTCGCCGCCTCCGCCGACAGCGCATCGCCATCAACGCGGGGGGAAAGGGGGATGGATGGATGGGCGCTGTAGACCCCTCAGAAACATATTAAAGATGCCCCCCGCCGGGAGTCCAGAGCGCCGAAAATACGGGACCGCGCCACGCGCGCAGCCCTGCCTGGTGCGAGGTCCTCGCCGCTAATTAAGCAAGCGCGGCTTTAACCGTCGCCCCGATTGAAGCCGGGGCCCAAAGCGCGGCCCCGCAGAGCTTCGGGATCGAAGCTCTCTGAATGCTTCGCGCCAGCCCAGATGACCCCCGGGGAAACGCGGCCCTCCTGGGCCGCAACCTCAGCACGAGCCGCCCGGTGCCAGACAACATTTCCTGGGCCCCGCCCAGGCCCAAAGGCCCAGAACTTCCTCGGAAAACGTTTGTTGGAATCCAAGCGGCACGGCCTGCGAAGCCGTTCCTAAACTCTAACAGGCCGAGCACATAAGAGGACGGGTCGGAGGCCCCCCTGGGTCACAGGGGGAAGAGATGCCAGAACAACTGCACGGGGAACAAGCCCAACAACTCGACGGCCTGCACGAACGCCCCAAACGCGCCAAGAGCTTCGTTCTAGGCGCGCGAGAAGTGCCGCGGGCGACCTCCGCCCAAGGACCGGGGCGTCAGCTTGGAGAAGCTGGCGCTCGCACAGCGGAGGTCGCCTGCCGCCGGGCGCGGGAGATGTCTCCTATCTGGCACGCGCGCGGCGGGCGCGGAGGCGGCGGCATGCCAAAAAGACACCAGGGACTCACGCTCGGCCTCAAGAAGGTTCCGCGGAAAATGCGCCAGGGTGGGCCTGAGAAACCGCGGGGGCCCACTTCTGTTTCAACTTCGCGAGACTGCGCATGGCCCGGGCCTCCCTTTTAACGCTTTCTCCCGCAAACGAGTGCCCCCCCCTGCTCCATGGCCTTGGCGGCCTCGTCGACATCGCCCTCCCGCGATTGGAGGAAGTCGGCCGCCTCGTCTGGCCGCGTGGCCGACGCGGCCGTCCAGCGCCTTACTGGAGCACGCGCCCGCGCAAGCTCACTGCCCTGTCGCGCGCTGAGGCCTTCGCAGGGGCACGGCTGCGAGGCGACAATCTGACCGTGATGGGGGGCGTCGTCCTCGAGAAGCTGCCGCTTGGCAGTGGCGGCGTGGGGATCATGGAGGGCCTCTTGGAGCCTTCGAGCAATCCCCGCGACTTCGCGCAAGCGCCGAGCAAGCCGCTCTCGGGGCAATGAGGGCCCAGCAGGCTCTCGATCTGGAACCTTTTATGTCCTCTACTGTTAACTGTGACTCCCGCGAAGGACTCGAGTTCTCTTTCGAACGCGTTCGGAAAATAAACCCGCGCCTGGCTCGGAACTTCCCGAACCAATCCAACGCCGCGACGCTGGGCAGACTCCGCGGCTTGCTCGGCGATGTCTCGCGCCAGCGTCTAACCCCGAGGTCGAGGGGAAGGCCCCGCGGGCTCGGGGAGGCACCGGCGCGGGCCATGGGCCCACTGGCACAACGACACCGCGCCATCGCGAAGCTGCAACATCACAAGCCCGCGGGGTCTTCCCGCCCTGTAAGGGCCGCACTCAACCTTCACGACTGCACGAGGAGATGCGTTAGAGCACACATAGAAATCGAGCGCGGAGAGCGGCGGCGGCGTGGCGCGCGCTCCGCCGACGCATAAATGGCAGCCTCGATGCGTCTGGTCAAGCCGACGGACTCCACGAGACTGGGCCCGACGTTCCAGTGCCCGCCGGCAGCGAACAGCGGCCCATTATCAACAGCCTGCCCAATGAGCTTCAGAAGGCGGAGGTTGGTCTCACGAGCCCCCGCGCCAAACTTCAGGCACAGAGATATGACCGCGAGGGGGGCCACGACGCGATATCGATCACAGCCTTGGGCGCCCGCCCAGTTCCCAGGGCCCCCGTGCCATCGGAGGGCCACATGAGCCCGAGACTGTGCCCGACAAGAAGAGCAGCCCCCCACTGAGGACGCCCCCCACAGCCGTGGATGGAGGGCGTAGCCAACATTTTCCTACCCAGCTGACCGACGGCATCACATTTGTCGCTCAGGTATCGGGGGGAAAAAAACACTTGGGCCAACGCAATCATGGCGGCCGCAGTCGCGAGACGATCGCGCAACGCGGGCCAGGAATTGTCATTGTACGTCTCAATGAGCTCTCCAGTGCCAAGTCCACGAGAAGACGAGGGCTCGGGAGGAGGAGGAGGTGATGGCATGTGCATGCCGTGTCTAGACAAAAGCAGGCCACAACAGAGCGGCATGGACTCAGACTCACTCACACTGTCACCCGCACTTCCGTCGCTTGGCCAGCAGCTCTGCCAGCCTCGTACTCGACTCCCTCTTGTCGACACGCTGCGACATGTAGAACTACAAAAATCGTCACTGTCGAGGCCAGGCACGGGCATGTCGAGACCGTCGTCGCTGCCTGCTGCTGCTGCACCTTCGCCGTCGGCGGCCGCGCCAGCTGCATGCTGTTGGGCTGGCGCGGGCGGCGCAGCAGCAGGCTGGGCCGCAGCCGCGAAGGGCGACTGGACACGCGCGGCAGCCACACCTCCATCCATGGGATCGTCGCCTTTAGCATCCCGAGGAGCAGGACCATGGGAGAAGGGCGACGGTGCTGCAGCTGGAGATGCCGACATGGCCCCTCGCAGCTGCTGCTCCTCGAGTTTCTGGATGTACTCCTGGAACACGGGAGACTCGACCAGGCCGCGCATTGCATCCTTCTCCCCGCCGTCTGCCAGATCGTCGAGGTTGAGACGAGGATTGGCGCCAGGGAGTTTAGCCACGAGCTGACGATTGAGAGTCGCGATCTCCAATGCGCACACCTTGTCGCCTTGTGCCGTGCACGCAGGGAGTCGAGCTTCTCGGTGGCCTGCTGAATGGCACGCAACCGCTCATTGATGTAATTCGCGAAGTTGTTCTGCTTGGCCACGACTCTGGCGAACTTGTGGCCCGCGTTGGCGTGCTGAGTGAAGGCTGGCTTGCAGGCCGCCAGGGCCTTGCGCGCCTCCTGCACCTGAACTTCAAGATGTTGTTTGGCCTCAGCGCCGCTGCCTCCAAGCTTCTCCACTGCCTGGATCGCGGTTTCGAAACCGTTCATGCTATCACGTATGTGCTTCTCTGTGTCCTCCTCTTTGGCAGTGCTCTGGCTAGTAGACCCCACTAGCAGGCACATTAGAAGAGGCGGTAACGACGAGCTTACCGCACCGCTTCGGTAACTCATCAAGCTGTCGTTGTAACTTACTTGTCTTCACGAGAAGGGCTGCCACCATTAGGACGACGTCCAGCACGAGGTGACCGCGCGCCGTTGCAATTCGTGTTCGTCGAGGGTTTCTTTGCATGCTGGCTGGCGTCACTGATGACTCGGGTAGGCGCCGAATTACCGCACCTGCACTGGATCCTCGACGCCCAATTGGTGCTGGGCCCGCATCCTCTGCACGTCCAGCAAGGCTGCCGTGGGCCAAATAGTACAGGCCCGTCATCATCCATGGAGCCCCCCGTGTGGAGGGAGGACAGACACTGTGGGGTCTCCGACCCCGCCGAAACCTTGGCTCGCAGCAGCTCTTGGCCGCTCTGAAGACGCTAGTTGCTGCAAGCTCAGGTCGCTGCCTGAGCCAGCACGGCTGAGGAGGAGGAGGAGAAGGAGGAAGAGGAGGAGGAAGAGGAGGATGAGGAGCAAGCGCAGCATATCGACAGGGAGGAGAAGGAGCCTGATGAGAGAGAGGGGGTGTCTGGAGCTGCGCAGTCCTCCTCCTGCCCCCCCTCCTCTTTCGGTACTCCCCCTGGCAGCCCAACCACACCAGTGCAGACGACACCGCGACACCGCCCTGTACCAAGACCTCCGACGATTCGAAATCCACCAGCCGCTGGCGCCTGGAGCTCTGGAGACCTCATGCCCCACACCAGCTTCAAATCCCGAGCCGTTCCTTGACCGTCCCTGGACCCAGACGCCAGAAACTACGACAAAGTAGCGAAGAAAATGCTCTTGCGCGAGTTTTTCGGGCAGGCAGGGGTCTGGATTGGAGGCCTGACCTGGGGGCGATAAGGCAGGTGAACACAGAGGCAGACAAAGAAGCAGAGGCCTTCTCCCTCTTCTTCTTCTTCCTCCTCCTCCTGACCAAGGATAGGGAGAAAGAGGGAGAAAGAGGGGGAGGAGGAGGAGGAGGAGGAGGAGGAAGAGGAGGAAGAGGAGGAGGAGGAGGAGGAGGAGGAGCCCAGCGTTTGAGAGGAGGAGGAGGAGGAGGAGGAGGAGGAGGAGGAGGAGGACAAAGGGAGGGAGGAGGGAGGAGGCTCCTGCCAGAGACCACCCATTCGAAGCCCAGCAGCTCCAGCAGGGACTCCGCAAGCGCGCCTGCCAGCCCCACTCGCTCTCCCGAACACGGCGCTGGCGGTGGCGGGCCACGCTCGGCGGCGCGAAGCAGCTCGAGGCTCGAGGATCGGGGCCATGTATCTCTGGCTTTGAACGCTGCTGGCCCTTCCTGGGCCTTCAGGGCCCCCCGGACTGCGAGTAGGGTATCGACTACAGAATCCCACCAGCCCGTTGGGCGACAGGTGGTGGTGATCTTTTGTTTCTTCCACAGCCCCTCTTTCCTTCGAGGAGGGGAACCTCCCTGGGGCTTTTTGGGAGGGGGACCGCTGTGTCAGAGGGTCCTTTTTCGGCCAGTGGGAGGGCACATGTTGGATAACCCTCACGAGGATCGTGGCCCCCGAGGGGGGGCAGACATCGAGGAGCCCCCCTCTTTTGACCGACCGCCTCGAAGATGGCCCCAAGAGGCCCTCCAGGGCTCCCCAGAGTGAGGCCCCCAAGAAAGCCCCTAAGAGCACCCCAAGAGGCCCCAAGAGGCCTCCAAGAGGCACCCGAGAGGCACCCAAGAGGCCCGCTGAGCGGCCCCCTAGAGGCCCAAGAAGCTCACCCGAGGCACGCAAGACGCCGTCTCGTCCTCGTCCTCCTCCTCGTCCTCATTGTCCTCGTCCTCGTCCTCGTCACCCTCCTCATCCTCGTCATTGTCGGCCTCCTCGTCCTGATCCTTCTCCTCTTCTTCCTCCTGGTTCTCCTCCTCCTCCTCCTCATCATCATCCTCATCATCCTCCGGATCGTCCTCTCGTTGTCGTCTACATCATATTCCTCCTCCTCCTCCTCCTCCTTCTCCTCCTCCTCCTCTTCCTCCTCCTCCTCCCCCCTCATCCTCATCCTCCTCCTCGTTCTCACCCTA